GCACCCACGTCACTGTTGAAAGTTACTCCTTCGAGAAAGTAGAGAATTTCGTTTATTTGGGAACCAGCATTAACACCGATAATAATGTCAGCATTGAAATCCAACGCAGAATCACTCTTGCCAACAAGTGCTGCTTTGGACTGTGTAGGCAATTCAGGAGTAAAGTCCTCTCTCGACGTACGAAAACCACGCTCTATAAGTCACTGATCATGCCCGTGCTGGTGTATGGCGCAGAAGCATGGACAATGACAACAGCCGATGAGGCGGGCCTTTACGCGTTGGCGACGGCGAGTACCGATGGAACGATGAGCTGTATGAGCTTTACAACGACATGGACATAGTGCAGCGAATTAAAATACAGCGGCTCCGCGGCACTTGGCGTTTCCAATTGGCGTCAGTTGGCACAGAGGAGAAACGACTGGCGTGCTTTGCTGAACTCGGCCAAAATCGCTTATGCGGTTACAGCGCCAAAAAAGAAGAAGAGAAGAAGAAGACATATATATTACCACCATAATTCATATACATCACAGCGCACGGCAGTGCGCGCGAGTGACGAAAACAGCCACAGTAGCATGCTGAAATGACTCGCTTATATATGTATACACGAGATTTGGAAGTTTTTATCCAGACGTCCAATCGACATGTTTGAGATATCGTTGGAAAGGTCTTTTAGAGTGTGTCCAGAAAATGTATTAAAGCTTCATAAACGATTAACCGGATTCTTAAAAATCAGGCTAAAGTGTTGCGAAACAAAAAACGTTTTTTTGGTTTTCCGGTTTAAGGAGGCATGTGGGTACACCCAACATATTTAGTGTTATTCTATAAGCCAATACCTTTCAAACGATACCTTATATTAAGTTCCGGCAACTAGTGGGAAAGATAGAGAGGTGAATGTGTTTTGGTTCGTGTCTCCACTGCGAGATGCTTTGGTATGTATGCAGTGTTGCCAGGTCTTCGGCATGAGAAAACGTCCATCTTGGTCTGAAAAAACGTCATTTCCTATCCTAAAATGTCTTTTTCAAATGAATGTAAAAAAAATTGTTCTTATTAAACTTTTATTGTATACAAAGGTACATATAGAGCCCTAACCGCCAAATAACGTAAGCGAAATTTTTTTCAAAATTTTCTTTTTGGTGCAGAAATATTCCTAGAGCATTTGATGCATTTCTGCATCAAAAAGAAAATTTGGAAAAAAACGTCGCTTACGTTATTTTGGCGGTTAGGGCTCGATATGTACGTAAAGTATATTAAAATGTCATTTCGACAGAGCACATTTAAAATTCATTGTAAACTGGTTTGATATCGTTAATATAAAATTATTTTATACATACACTTGTGATCAGCTGATTAAGTCATCAACATTTTGATCGATTTTGGCTATTTCTCTTTCGTTTATTTAATGTTTATTATTTTTTCATAAAAGCCAAGCTCATTAGCAAACAAAATATAAATCCACAAAAATTGTGCAAAAATTATAAACAATCTGCAAATTTTGTTTATTTATATTTGGCCGCTAATTGAAGATTCTGTTGATTTTTTTGAGCTCAAGGCTGGGTTGAAATAAAACAATCTGTTTTTGTTGTTTTTAAATCGTCTATATTTCGACTTCAGTCTGAAGTCATCATCAGGACTGCAATAAATATCTTAATTACAACAAGTAAGAAAGTCTAAGTTCGGGCGGAGCCGAACACTAATTACCCGGCGCAAGTATTAAATATATGATTTTCACCTTTCCGAAACCTACCGCTAGATGGTAAGCGGGGGTGTATCAATTTTAAGTAAATTAGCGTCCTTAAATTTCGAAATATCGCAATTTCAAGCATTTTTGAAATTTACCGTTATATGAAAAGCGGCCGTAATTTTAGTCCGATTTCAATAATTTTTAAAGTTTTGCTTTTATGGGGCAAGCACAATAACCATACCGAGTTTGGTACAAATTGCTAGAACGGTTAGCGAGATACATATATGTGATCACAAGTGGGCGGTGCCACGCCCATTTTCCAAAATTTTATCATAAACATATTTCTTGGTAAATAGTTGTTCCAACCACCAATTTTGAATAAATTAGCTTTAATATTTACTGATTTATCGAAGATTTTCTATTTCTCGAAATTACCGTTATATGAGATGTGCGCGTGGTTATTGTCCGATTTTAAAAATTTTCAGCCATTTGGTATGCTCTACCAGGACCTACAACTGTGCCAAGCCTGGAAGAAATCGGTGGAGAGGTTGCCAAGATATACACATGTAACCATAAGTGGGCGTGGCTGCGCCCATTTTTCAAAAATTTATAATATTCTTATTTTTCGTCTAAAAATTATTGTAAATATCAATTTTGAGTGAATAATCTTCAGTAGTTACTAAAATATCGCAGTTTTCGTATTTCTGAAAATTACCGTTATATGGGAGGTAGGCGTGGTTATTGTCCGATTTCGCCCATTTTCAATACCATCCGTCCTACGCCCAAAAGAAGTTCACGTACCAAGTTTCGTTAAGATATCTCAATTTTTACTCGAGTTATCGTGTGCACAGACGGACGGACGGACGGACAGACAGTCACCGCTTAATCGATTTCTCTTTTCATTCTGATCATTTATGTATACATTTGTCTATATCTATCTCGATTCGTTTTGCCTGTTACAAACAACCGTTATGTGAACAAAGTTATAATACCCTTGTTCACAAGTGTGCTCGGGTATAAAAATTGTATATATAAGCACAACTTATAGCTGAAATACAATGCCGGCGAACGGCGAACTCACCACAGCGAAATTCGCGCTGTCAAAATTAGAACACCCGCAAGCATATGAAATTGAACACAGCCAAAGCGAAATGCGAAGTTCGCTTGGCGGCGTTTCATGGCGATAGATTTATTTCTATCGCCCTACTGGGCGATGACAGCTGTGCGTGCCAAAGGTGGCCGTATTTTTTTGCTTTCAAAGTTTGAAAGAAAACAACCTAAACACGATTTTTTTGTTGTTTGAAAAATATAGTTGTGGATTCGTTAAATCTGGCTTGAAACAAATTATTTATAATAATCTTTCTTTGTTTTACATATATATTTGTTATCATTTCCTCATTTCTAAATATGAGGGCTATTCGCGATTCGGTGCATAAGAGCTGACAAATGTATGCAATTGCAGAAATATGCCATGGATTGTGAGCGACTTTTATTAAACTGTCATGGTAAAGCTTTTGCAAAACAATTTTTTGCATCAGCTTTGGTTTTGTTTATGAATGCAATGCATATCATTTTTATGCTATGGATTTTAGGTATTGCAAATTTGTCAAGCCATGACAAATGCAAATGCGTGTATTTTGTTTGTGTATTGCAAATAATTTGCAATACAAATTTGCAATGCAATGATGCTAGGCCATTTGCACCGGATCGCGAATAGCCCTATGGTTTAGTTTTTTCTAAATATGGTCACCCAAATTATAAAGGCGACCAAATGGGATCAGCTGTTTTCGCTACTGCTCTAATTCTGTTTAAGTAGGCGAATAACGGTGAACGACAGCATCGCCCAATTCGGCGAAGTTTGCCGTTCGCCGGTATTGTATTTCAAGCATTACACATTCGGCTGCGCCTGGTAGACTAATGTGTGCAAAAAACAAAAGGTTTAACAAACCAAACAACGAGACGAAATGGACCATGATTCAATAATACAAGGTTCGATAAACTGACAGTTGTATCTCTCGCACCGCTCCCTTAGCAGTGGCACCGTGTTGCTTCTTTGCAAATTTACATGGAAACAGTGCAGCTTTGGTGTGAAATAGAAGTGTAAGCTTTTGTGCAATATGTTTATTTGTATATGCATATGAATCATATTTAACTGATGAAAACATAAACTGCTTTTAAATTGGATGTTTACATTAATCTCATAGTAGCCTTATTTTAATTTTGAGTCATTTTGCAGTTTTTATACAGCTAAATATCACAGAAATTACGTAATTCACGTAGATATATCAATATTACGTTCAACATTTCGTTTAAAATGTCAGATTTCCTGCAAATACATTAGAATTTACAAAAGGAATTTCACTGCTAATTACCTACTTTGCGTACTTTTCTACTACCGTTTTCGCACCAAGAGATTTCATTCTTCCCCCTTCTCCATCCTTCGTAAATGCAACCTTTTGTAAGGGAGTGTCAAACCGCAGATGTCAATAATTATCTAACCTTGTGTTATTGAATCATGGAAATGGACATAAAAATATAAACAAATGAAAGAACAGTAATTGTAAACAAAAAATCATACAAACAACATTGCATTGGACGGCACACAGTACGACATAAATATGTATGCAAATCATCCAGCATTGTAATGTTATCATAGACGAAGTTCGGACACGGAACGAATAATAGACACCAATATTAGGCTTATTTGTGGTGCCTTAATATTATGTTGCGTTAGACGTGTGCACAGTTTTCAGTGTCTGTTTTGAAATTCATCCTTTTATCATTAGGGGTGTTCACAATGTGGAGCATTTCTAATATAAAGCGTTTGTGGTAATTTTTCTCTTCTTCTAAGACACTCATATTATCAAAATCGGGGTAATGTCCCGTGTCTTTACAATGGGATGACAAGGCCGTCTTGTTGTCCGAGTAAGTATTCCTTAATTTTACGTTCGACTTGTGATTTGATTTGGTTGTGCCCACATATACTTGTTTGCATACGTGGGACCCGTCGCCATTACATGGAATACTGTATACTATATCAGATTTCTCATGCTTGGGAATTTTGTCTTTAGTGTTGCTAAATATACTTCTCAGAGTATTGTCGTACGTAAACGCTAATTTTACGTTCTCTTTATCATATAGATTGGACACAACTAGCATACAAATTCCAACCGATATTCAGTGGCTTCTTTCTCTGGGTCCTAAATATGCTTTACTCATAGACAACAAACAATTTCCACTATTTAAAGTCATCGCAGACGGGGAGAACTATATACAAACAATTAAAGACAAAGAGAAACAAGAGATGGAAAGAAGCAACATGACGACACTGCTACGTGACTACCTCAACAAGACGACAACTTCAGTTAGAGATAAATTTAAAAGTGATACCCTACGTTCCGCAAAAAAGTTCTTAAAAAATCATAAAGAGCTTCTGATCCTTAATGCCGATAAGGGCAATGTAACTGTGTTGATGGATAAATCAGAATATGACATAAAAATACAGACTATAGTCAACGATATTTCCACATACAAAGTATTGAAGCGTGATCCTACTAATAGACTACAGGACAAGAACAACGAAATAGTTGAGAAAATGTTCAGTAACAAAATCATTGATGTAAAAGAAAAGAATGCGCTTTTGTGTAAAACAGCCAATCCACCACGAATCTATGGCTTACCAAAGATTCACAAAGAAGGAAATCCACTCAGACCTATTTGTTCGTCCGTAAATTCCCCGTCTTACAATTTATGTAAATATGTCGTCAAAATCCTGAAAAATGTAACCATGTCCTCCGTATATAATGTCAAAGACGCGATCGAATTCAAGAACAAGATCAAGGATACATATGTTTATGATGATGAGAGTCTAGTGTCGTTCGATGTTGTGTCATTGTTCCCGAGTATTCCAGTGGATTTGGCCCTTGAAATCATAGCTTCAAAGTGGGAAGATATAAAAGAGTACACTTATATGACTAAAGAATTTTTTTTAACTGTGGTAAAATTCTGCATAAAAGAAAACCGCTATTTTAAATATAATGATAAAATATATGAGCAGCGTTCAGGTATGCCCATGGGATCTCCAGCCTCACCAGTTATAGCGGACATCATTATGGAAGAGTTACTCAAAAAATTCGAACAGGATTCGGTCAATAAGCCACGACTTCTTACTAAGTACGTTGACGATATATTCGCCATAGTTAAAACCGAGGACACAAACGACATGCTTACAATATTAAACGGTTTCAGCAAATCAATAAGATTCACAATAGAAGTAGAAAAACAAGGAAAACTACCTTTTCTTGACACCCAAGTGATAAGGAGAAACAACGTAATTACTATAGATTGGTACAAAAAACCTACGGCTTCGGGCAGACTTGTAAATTTCAATTCTAAGCAGGAAAGAAGAATAATTGTAAACACTGCCAACAATTTCGAGAGACGAGTTCTCTCTATCAGCGACAAAATATACCATAATAAAAATATTTGCATTATTAAAAAAACTCTGGAGGACAATGATTTTCCTGGGAAAAAAATTAAAAAGCTTATTCGCAACTACTATGTTCGTCCGAACGAAGAAAAGAAATATGATGATTCAAATAAGAAAATTTACAAAACATCAACTTATGTCCCAGGGTTATCAGAGAGAATCAAATATTCCAATCTATATGATAAAGAGAACGTCCAATTAGCGTTTACGTACGACAATACTCTGAGAAGTATATTTAACAACACTAAAGACAAAATTCCCAAGCATAAGAAATCTGACGTAGTATACAGTATTCCATGTAATGGCGACGGGTCCCACGTATGCAAACAAGTATATGTGGGGACAACCAAATCAAAACTTAAGACAAGGATTTCCGCTCACAAATCGAACGTAAAATTAAGGAATACTTACTCGGACAACAAGACGGCCTTGTCATCCCATTGTAAAGACACGGGTCATTACCCCGATTTTGATAATGTGAGTGTCTTAGAAGAAGAGAAAAATTACCACAAACGCTTTATATTAGAAATGCTCCACATTGTAAACACCCCTAATGATAAAAGGATGAATTTCAAAACAGACACTGAAAACTGTGCACACGTCTACCGCAACATATTAAGGCACAACAAATAAGCCTAATATTGGTGTCTATTATTCGGTACGTGTCCGAACTTCGTCTATGATAACATTACAATGCTGGATGATTTGCATACATATTTATGTCGTACTGTGTGCCGTCCAATGCGATGTTGTTTGTATGATTTTTTGTTTACAATTACTGTTCTTTCATTTGTTTATATTTTTATGTCCATTTCGTCTCGTTGTTTGGTTTGTTAAACCTTTTGTTTTTTGCACACATTAGTCTACCAGGCGCAGCCGAATGTGTAAGTTGTGCTTATATATAGTATGTTGATAGTCTTTTATGCAATTTTTGTAATTAAGATATTTATTGCAGTCCTGATGATGACTTCAGACTGAAGTCGAAATATAGACGATTTAAAAACAACAAAAACAGATTGTTTTATTTCAACCCGGCCTTGAGCTCAAAAAAATCAACAGAACAATCTGCAAATTTTCAGCTAGATTTTCAACTTTTTATTCAGATTTTTTAAATTTTTTTTGAGTATGCAGTTTGATAGCCCATTAAATTTCAGGGCAATAATGTGGAAGTTTAAAGGGGCTAAATAATCGCGTTGATTTTTAATATTTTTTTTTTCTTGTAGACATTTGTTTAGGGGCTCAGTTGTCGAAAATGCTAAATTACGTTCTGCTAAGAAGGAGCATAGCAATAGGTCCATTCAATGTCTCTAAATTACCGTTATGTGGGATGTGGTCGTGGTTATTATCCGATTTTTTTAAATTTTCAGCCGTTTGGTATGTTTTGTGAAGGCCAACAACTGTGCCAAGTTTGGGAGAAATTGGTGGAGTGGTTCCCAAGATATACACATGTAACCATAAGTGGGCGTGGCTGCGCCCATTTTTCAAAAATTTATAATATTCTTATTTTTCGTCTAAAAATTATTGTAAATATCAATTTTGAGTGAATAATCTTCAGTAGTTACTAAAATATCGCAGTTTTCGTATTTCTGAAAACTACCGTTATATGGGAGGTAGGCGTGGTTATCGTCCGATTTTGCCCATACACCATCCATCCTCAAAAGAAGTGCACATACCAAGTTCCGTTAAGATATCTCAATTTGTACTCGAGTTATCGTGTGCACATACGGGTACTCTTTTCATTCTGATGATTTATGTATACATTTGTCTATATCTATCTCGATTCGTTTTGCCTATTACAGACAGCCGTTACGAGAACATAGTACAAGTGCGCTAGGGCATAAAAATCCTTGACATCCGCATTGGCATCCGCATCCGCGGATCTTAGCGTTTAAACATCCGCATCCGTATTCGCATCCGCGGATGTCTAAAATTCCACATTCGCAACATCCCTGGTATGTACATATGTGTGTCTAACAAATTATGATCTGTTATCAAAATACCGATATTAATTAATAAACTTAGGGGCGTTTTCTGAAGTAACCTCTAACTTTAAAGCTCACTTTATATTTAAAGGTTGGATTAAAAGTAAAACTATGTCTAAAGTTAAGCATTTCTATTATCGGTTTATGACGTATGTATCTTTCTTGGTTGTAAACCAACTTAAAACGGATAATAAAATGCTCTACTTTAGGCACAATCACAAATTCTTATGTAACCTTTGTATATACAGTGAACTTTAAAGTTACAGGATACTTGAGAAAACGGCCCTTAATATTATATAGTACAAATGTATTTGTAAACTTAATTTCATTGGCGCGTATTCATAGTCCAGCAACTAAGTCGAAACTAACAAAGTTGCAACTTAAATTTAAGTACCAACTTAAAATTTACCTCTATTCATAGTCGCATTTCAGACTTCTACTAAGTAGTTTCGACTTAGTTTACGATATAGCAAAACGAGTGTGAAAATGTATCGATTTTTCTTTACGATATTTTGGAAAAATTACATTTTTATTAAATAATATCAAGTTTGATCATCCGTTTATGTAATTTTTATTTTCATTGCATGATTATGCAAAAGAATAAGGTATAATTTTCTTGTTAATTGTGTGAAATAGCCAGAACAACCGCAGTGATGTGAAGTCGATGTTTATCGAAAGCATGCTGTGGAACATACAAATAGTAGATATCTAAATGTTATGCACAAATTTACTTTAAAAGAACTAGCGTGAAACTGACTTATTATTTGAAAATTTATCTAAATTATTCCAATTATAAAATTCTGATGTAGCTTTATTCGAATTGTAATACGCATTTAATTTCATCTTCCGATTAAAATGGATCGATCTTTGTAAATTTTAATTGGAGTTTATTCAATATTATTCACCCTCTACCAACTTAATTTTTACATATTTCGTCTGTTTTCCCTTAATTTGATAAAATACTTCTTCCTAGTTACGACTTAGTTGCAGCTGCAGCCGAAACTAAAATTTAAGTTGGTACTTAGCCAGAAAAGTCGAAACTAAGGCGACTATGAATAGCTTTAGTTGTGACTTAGAATAGTTTCGACTTAGTTGAGTACTAAATATGACTATGAATATGCGCCATTAAAATTATTTCTGAAAACAAATTTTCTGTACATGCACAAAGCCAAACGCATAAATATGTACGTATGTACACATGCATTTGTAAATATGTACATATGTAATGTATGTATGTAACAAATATATGTACCAGGGTTGTTGCGAATATTCGCATTCGCATTCGCAACCGCGGAGCTTCCGCATTAATTTTAACATTCGCATTCGCTTTCGCATTCGCAATAATCAATGCAGAGCTTTTACGAATGCGAATATTTTGCAAGTGGACCGATAAAACGTATATATGGCAAAAAAAATTACATATTTTAGCCAATATTTTCGCCTGTAGTCGTAGGAGTATGTGTGTAACAAAACTGGTCAAATGTCATATTTATCAACTTTGATAAAAATATCTTTAAAATATTATTTCTTAAGCTAACCGAGCTATCAATGGGCAGCCATAAAAGTTCCCAATTCTACTTGACCTTTGACGTACGTCAAATAGAACATAGTCCTTTTAATAATTTTTTTTTCTGTGCTTTAAATACCTGCTTTGGCTTCTTTCTTTATTATGATTTTTTTGAACTTAAAAAAAAACAACTAAGAAAGTCTAAGTTCGCGCGGAGCCGAACATTAAATACCCGGCGCAAATATTAAATATATGTTTTTTCACCTTTCCGAAACCTACCGCTAGATGGTAAGCCGGGGTGTATAAATTTTGAGTAAATTAGCGTCCTTCAATTTCGAAATATTGAAGTTTCAAGCATTTCTGAAATTTACCGTTATATGAAAAACGGCCGTAATTTTAGTCCGATTTCAATAATTTTAAATGCTTTGCTTTCATGTGGCAAGCACAATAACCACACTGAGTTTGGTACAAATTGGTAGAACGGTTACCGATATA